CTATCCATGACATACAGGAGTGTCCCACATCACAGGAAGCCAAGCAGAGGTAAGAAGAAAGAGTTTCCTGTGTGATGGGGTAAAGATGGAGTCTCGGGGCTGGAGCGTCCTCATACCTGTTCATTAGCTAGGAAGGGCTGGAAAAACCTCCCAGAAGCCCAGTGAGAGAGTTCCCTTATGTTCCCCGGCTGTTATCCAGTCACAGACCCTTCTGGAAGAACCATTGTCTCAGAGATGCCAAGAGCCATAGCTGGGTGAAGACGGGACTCTCCCCTGAAACATACAGAGGAAGACAGAGTGCCCGACACAGTCAGGGCTTCATGGTAAAGAGCCTGGCAGGCTGCTAACCACCCTCAGCAATCACTGGGTCACCTCATGGCCAGTACAAGCTCCTCTGCCATTTAGAGCTCATCTCTGGGTCTTAGTTTCTCTTTTTGAATATTGACAGTGATGCTCTTGAAGCGGAGGGAGATGGGATAAGGGTATCACCACCTGTTTCAGAGTCTTCCTGATCATGAGTGAGGGAACCTGCCCTGGATATCACTGGGGCCACTCAGGATCATGGGTAAAATCCGGCATGCTGGAATGAATCACTGTCCCAGCCGGGTTGTCTTCCAATCCAGAAGACACTCAGGTTGGTATTCACCTGGAGAATGATTTCAAGTGAGCGTATGGGTCCGACTTAGCAGAGAGGGTGACCATGTGTTCTAGAACCTTCAAGTTACATCAGACCCAGCAGTTCCTCATTCACACATCCATTTCACTCAACAAACACCTCTGGCCTGTTCGGTGGTGAGGAGAGAGTGTCAAGCCATCATCTGACGCTTCGTCTTTGAGTCACTTGAGCAGGGTACGATTTGCCTCCTTGGCAATTTAAGAACCCGCCCGTGGGAAACGGGACAAAGTGTAAAGCCCGCTTTAAAAGCCCCATCCTCTGCCCACACCTAAGGTGTCCTACGGTGTCATTTACATTTTTCAGTGGCAACCAGCCCTTAAGGTCAAGCTTGAGAAACGGGGAAGAAAGAATTTTCTTAAGAAAGGCCTGTGCCCACCAGTGGTTTTGAGTGGAAACAAGTTTCTTGACTGTGACACTGTGGTGGTCGGAGCTCGCACCCTGAGAAAGGAAACACAGCCTCGAACTTGACAACGAGAAAGACCCTAGAACAAAAAGACAGAACCAGGCAGAAGCCTATCCTCACCCCTCGAATCCCAAAACTTCTGCCACGGCCAGGCCAGGAACACAGGGACAATCCTTCCACAGAGACCCTCCCCTGGGCCAGCTCCAGGCTTCTGGGAGCTCAGCAGGCCAGCAGGCAGATGCCAGAGTGGACCGCAGGCTGGCAGAAGGAAGTGGCTTTCTCAGCCGGCTGCCTCGGGGAAGAGAGCAGAAACCCAACCAAGAATAATGCGGGGCTATTTTGAACCTTAGGGTTTCCACTCCAGTGTCCCCAAGTACTGGGGTTGGGCAGTGTGGCTCCCCTGTGAGAAGGCCAGGCTGCTGCTGACAGAGAAGCAGCTGAGAGGAAGTTGAGTCTGGAAAAAAAGGGGAGGATGTGACCCACCATAAAACACAGGACCCCTAACACCCATCCTGACCGGGGGGCGGGGCGGGGGGGGGGGGGTGGGCTGGGCTTCTCCTCTGGCTATGGACTTAAAACAGCACACACTAGTTCCCTGACGGTCCTCAAGATCAGGACTACAGATTGAGGTGGCGATTCCTTCTAGAACCTTTTGACTGTTTCCCTGCAGCTTCAAGAGCCACCTCAGCCCTTGGCTTGAGGCCTAGCTTCTATCTTCAAACCATCTCAGCCCAACTAAGTCCTGTCCTGTGGTGTCACCTGTCTTCTCTGGCTCTGACCCACGTGTCCCCTCTCCATAGTTCTGCCTCAACACTGGAACACTGGCCTGCACAGATAATTGAGAAGGCTCTCCTATCATAAGATTCTTGGCTTATTCTCGGAGGCCCTGGCAATAGTCATTTTATTCTGGCCTCAGGATCTCTAACCTGTATTGACCAACACCCTGCTCCTAACAGAAGACAGGGCACTAGAGACTGAGAGACCCTTGGAGAAGGCATGGACAGGAAGGAAAGGGGGATCTAGGACAGCTGAGACACTGTTTTTTCTCCGCCAAAGCTGGCCAAGGACCTGCTATGGGGATCCCTCCCGTGTCCCCCTTAGGGGTTCAGGCAATTTTTTAAGTTTCCTTTTTCATATACTTCAGACCAAAGCAAATCGAGGGGTGGTATAGCCACCGTGCCCTCAGCACAAGGGTGTGAACCCATAATGCCAACAGCTTTGAGTTCAGTCCCACTCAGCAGCACAGCTGCAAGCCAGGGTCACTCAGAACTCAGTTCTTTACTTGCATATGCGGGAGGTGGGGAGAGAACCCTACTCACCGGGCAGCATCCACAAAAGCCTGTTCCCCTCCCTATGCCTCCTCACAAGTGATCCTAGACCTCAGATTCTGCCCTTCCTTCCCTCTCCTGCCTCTTCCCCTCCCACTGCATAGGATAGTCTGACCAAAAGCACACTATTTTGATATCCTCTAAGGGATGCTCACAGCAACTCCTCCGGCGGGATGTGCGAGTCCGTAGGACCACCTAAAGCAACCTGTGGAATCACCTTCATTCTCCTACTGCTTGTCTGGGAGAAAGCCGAGAAGGGCTCTCAAGTCTCTCGACAGCCCTAAGCCAACCACAGGCCCCTTCTTCCCATCACAGGGCTCCATGTGGATCACAGACAATGCCTCACTGGCCTCTCCCACCACCTGCTGTGCGAGCATCAAAACCAAGTCTGAGGTCACCCTGGAGTACAGCCTAAGACTCTTTCTCAAAAACAAACATAATAATAATAGTACAAGAGAATGCTACAGAACTTCAGGCTCTGGTCGGGAAGCTGGAGTGGGGAGTCAACAAGGCAGCCTTTCTACTAGGCTAGCAGAGACTCTGTGTAAGGAACTTCACGAGAGAAGTTTAATAATTTCATTACTGTTTACAATGGAAGGTTCAGAAACGACCACATTAATATCATATGCAATTAAATCAGTGTTCGTAATTAAAGAGAAACCATATAATCCTACACAGTCAGACATTTCTGTATCACTCTGAACAATTGAGTATTAATTCCTCTATCGATGTAGCTTGGTTTCTTGAGATAGGGCTTCACTGTAGCCCAGCATGATCTGGAACTCACCATCCCCCTGCCTCAGCTTCCCGAGTGCTCGGCTTCTAGAAGCGCACCACCACACCCTACTAACAATTACATTATTGACATAGTTGATTGACACGCACACACTTACTTAACCGTTGGCATTATAGCTCGTTAGCAAGGAATATTTAATATTTATAACACAGCTACCTAATCACCATGGCTTAATTATGGATGAGTGATAAGCAGAAATATGGTGATTTTTAGTCTTTACTGAGCGGCAGGCTCTGCTCTAAGCTTTTCATGCCCGTTAAGCCTCTTTGTTCCTCAGGGTGTGGGATCAAATCACTCTCACTAGTGAAGGAAATGGGAGGCAGAAGCATGAACGGCTGGCGAGTTTTGGGTGAGTAGAACCCTAGCCTGTCCTCTGACCAGGCAATCTTCCCTTGCCTTCCATCAGCCCAGGCAAGACCTCACAGAAAAGGCACACCCTAGCCTTGCCCTGCCCCACCCTGCTCTTCCCTCGTTGTCTCTAGGGTCATTGTCTTATGTGGCTGGTACAAAGAGAAACAGAACGCTTGCTTCCCAAGTGGACCTTGCAGGCATTAGGGAAATAAGCAGCAACTCAGAATCATGTGGACGTATACCAACCTTCTAAGGGTTTTATATGATCCCAAGAGTGGGGGGGAAGGGGGGGACAGCTGGCCTTTCCTTCAGAGCCAAACTGTCTCCATCCAGAGAAAGATGCTTTTCTTTGAGAACCCAAGTCCTGTCCCCGGAAGCTTCAGCCTTCAGAGACACCAAATTCTCTCCCACATGTCAGGGAGACAGCATCCACTCTTGGCCCAGGAGTTGCACTCTGAGAGACACAAACTGGACTGGATCCACTTTCCACATCCAGAGAAGAGCGGCTTATAAACAAGGCCCCTCGTTGGAGCCCTCTGGAACCAACATGACTCACTGCAGAAATGCCTGCTGTCCTCTGCTCTGGAGTCAGCTGTCCTCTGGGTCAAGGACCTTGCCGAGGCTCTGACTGTGCTCCCAGGACACAGAAATCTTCACTCAAGCCAAGCATGGTCCTCTACATCCTTTTCTAGGTTTGTGAGCTGGGACTAACTGGCCCTATCTCCAGGATCCCATGAGAGCAGAGATGGTACACACTGCCTCAAAGACAGGATGTGCCAGGCACATCCACCCACCTGAACTAGCAGCCCATGCCCACCTGCAGTGTGGGCTTTGTTCACAGTTGCTAATGGAATGGCCCCTGAGCTGGTTATAGCACCAGTGAGGGCCATACTGGGCCCGTGTCCAGCACAAGTATGTGTGCATGAACAGAAGGTCATAACTCAGCATTATGACTGGTGACTGTCCCACTAACGCTTCTAGAAGCTTCCAGAAGGTGCTATCCGCACAGTCTCCTGGCTCCGTGACCTCCCATGTTTCAGGAAGCCTGAGCTCACTGAAACTCTAATCTGGTTGAACAGGGTGAATTTCTCGCTGTGTTCTCTGGTGTCTTCTGTTCTCCAGACCTTTCTGCCATTGTCTTAAGAGAAAAAAAGAGAGAGAGAAAAAAAAACAAAAACAAACAAACAACAAAAACCAAAACCTAAATTCTTAAAGTCTCAATCCATTATTTCTTTAAAGTTCTTCCTTTAAGAATCCTCAAAGCCACAGTGACTCACACCTCTCCTCCCCTAAGAGGCTGAGGCAGGAAAATTGCAACGAGTTCAAAGCCTGGGCTACAGAGTCAGATCCGGTCTCATTTTTTTTAACATCAAAATTCTTTAAAAAAAAAAAAAGTGAAAACTATATTCAGAAGTGATTTTTTAAAAAACAAGAAACAAACATGACTTTTATGAAAGAGCAACTCATTTTAATAAATATTTGGATTACAGATTTGGGGCACTAGCATTCCTTGAGGCAGGTTGGGGAGTGACATGTGACAAGGGGCCAGTGATGAACAGGTTGTCCTGGCTTCAGAAGAGATGTTCCTGCTTTGGCTGAGGGGGAGAAGCAGGCCCCAAGATTCTGTTTGCATGAGTCACACAGGATGGCGACCTTGTCTGTTGAGAAGGCCCCACCCCATTGCCTTCTTACAGTAGCCACAAAGGTCACTGTGGTCCTTAGCCTTTCAAGTTGTAAGGTGTGGCCTGTCACTCACTTGTACCCGCCAGGGACTATCTTCTGCACCCGCACGCTTTTTTCCGGAACAGTCTACAGGTAAGGCTTTCCCTGACCTTCCCCAGGGAATGTGAACAGAATAGGTTCCTCTAACTGCGCTGAGCCTCTAACCCAGGATGGTTACAAAATAGAACAAACAGAGACCGCCCCTACTGTCCTCAGACAAGAGCAGATGATGGTGCCCCTGCCCCCACATCTGCTTGGCCTCTGCACCTGCTGTGTACTGATGGCCAAACTAAATCCTTGGTGGCGGCTCTCTCCTACAGAACCTGTCCCTTAGGCAGGACTGCAGTCCCTGCTTTAGATTATTCACGTACTAGGTTGGACAGCCAGATGCGGGGTCACCAATGGTGCTGTGGGTGGATGTTCCACTCTGCACCCACTGTGTAGGATGTGCTCCTCTCCCTGACATGTGGGTGAGCACTTCTGAGCCCAGAGCACAGTTTAGACACTGCTTTTCAGTGGGTCTTAGGACTGGGAATGGAACGGGACAAGGGACGGTTGAGATGCCAGTGAATGAATGGGTCCTCTCGGCAGTGCCTGGTTCTACAATGCCCCACGCAGCCCTGTCAGCTGACACAGAGTCATGTGGATCAATGAACCACAACCAAAATTCCTGTGAAGCCCGCAAGCAGTATCTACACCCATATTTATAATCTGCCCCACTTTACAGGAAAGGTCTAACATGATTTACAGTAGAGCCTGTGGGAAAACTAATACCACTTTAAAAGTGAAACCCGTTTGGGTAAAAAAATATATTGTCAACTTATTATTTCAGACTTCTGGCCAAAAAAAAAAAAAAAAAAAAAAAAAAACAAAAACAAAAAGCCTGAACGGTAAAGTCTCTTCGTCTACAGTCAAGCAGAGAAAGTCATAAATCTCTACCCTCAGCCACAGAAGGACAAAGGCAGGTCTGCTGCCACCAGATGATTTGAACCTTCACCGTGACAAAGACCTCAGCATGCAGAAAGAAGGCCAGCCATGAACGGTGAAGGGGGAAACGCAGGAAAAATATGCTTTAATCACAGGTTCTGACCACAGTCCTTGCAAGCTTCTGACACCTGCCTGAGTAGGAGTGTGTCCATCTGTGGGCTTCCTGAGGCCCCTCGGAGGATACCCGCCCACCCCAGTCAGAGGGGACCATGTCCTTTCAGAATTCTCTTGGTCACAGAATCGTCAAGCTTGAGCTCAGGGGAGGTGGGGTGTCCAGACTGAGGCTTAGACGGTGATCTGTTGATTTTCTCTGAAAAAGGGTCTCTGGTGTGAGGTACAGATATCTGGAAACATCCGGAAGGCCTGGTCCGGCTGGGGCTCCTCCAGGGCTGGCATCAGGGAGCCAGCCCCGCAGTTCTTGCTTGCTTCCTCTACCAGCTGCCTGGCATATAGCTGCTCCACCTGCAAGGGCCATGTGCAAAGTAAGAAGCAAGGTGGGGAGGAATTGGGGCCATCCTCCACCACAGGTCCTCTCATCCCCTCCGAGACAAGAAGGGGACAGGTAGGCAGTGTTTCTGCACATCGCTAAGAGTGTTCTCCCAGAACTGCTCCAACCTGGCTGGTCGATGCTCAGAATATCTACCCAAGTACTGTGTCTCAGACCATAGTCAAATGGACTGTAATCTGTCACTGCGACCTTAAGGTCACTGGACAAATGGAAATCTTCTGAAGAAGAAGGAATGGGAGAAGGGAGGGTGGGAAAGTAGGAGAGAGGAAGAAGGAAATACAGATGAAGAGGCTCCCAACATGGGAAGCCATCCTAGAGGTGACTAGAGTCCTGTGTGGTCCCATTCCTGAGCTCTGCACTGGTCACACAGGCGAAACACCAAGCCCTCACTGTCTCTTCTCACCCTGGGATAAAGCTCGACCCATATAAATGAGGGCGAGGATTTCTGGGCACAGACAGACGCTGCTGGCTCTCACCTGCACCAGAATGAGTTTGGAGCGCAAGGGTGCCGTGTCCGGAAACTCCTCCCCGAAGCACAGAACCACCCTGCTATCGGGTAGGCGGCTCTGGGTGGCGTAGAACTGCTGCAGCTCTGGAGGAAACACAGAAACCAGTGAGCCTCTGAGCTGTATGTAGTGGGGGCCCAGGACTGGGGTACAGAGCTTGGAAAGAAGTCACAGATCCCCCAAAAGCCAAGGGAAGGGTGATCAGGCCCAGGCCCCTGGGGCCTTGGACACGTGGCAACTTAGCTAAAAGCCAACCAAGGACCTGTGGAATTTGTCACTCCCAAATACTACTAGACATTTTAGGGAACTTCTTGTTCGTCTGGATTTGTTTGGGAGAAGACAGGATCTCACTGTGCAGTGCAGGCTAGCCTGGAACTCTCCATGGTCCTCCTGCCTCAGTCCCTTAAGTACCGGGATTGTGAGTGCGCTCCACCCTGCCTGTTAGCTGGGTTTGAATACTTTGCAATGGTACAGTTCCTAATCCCCACCCACTACACTGTGAGCCACAGTCCCTACCTGCCCAGGAGGTGTGTGAGTCTGAGGCCTGCAGGCCTTCTGGCACCTCCTTCAGCTTCTCCAAGGTCCCCAGAGCAGAGACCTGGAGCAGCACCACAGCCTTGTGCTGGAGTTGTGGAGGACGGTGGGTTCCCTAGCTGCCCAGCGCCACAGGCCAGCCTGTGAGGGCTGAGCAGGGCAGGGTGTCAGCCGCTGCATGGCATACTCAGGGTGACTCTGCCTGATCTTTCCACCAAGTGTACTCCTGACACTGCCACACCTGAGCTTGCACACACATACCCAACTCCAACCCTCCTGGGACCCTTATCCTCTCTGCCTTCCTCAGACTGCGACACTTGAATACAGTTGCTCTTGTGGTGATCCCAACCTGGAACATTATTTTCGTTGCTACTTCGTAACTGTGATTTTGCTACAATTTGCTTACAATCTGTTGGGAATTGTAAGGCAAACATCTGTGCTTTCAGATGGTCTCAGGTGACTCCTGTGAAAGGGTCAAAGGGGTCGAGACCCACAGGTTGAGAACCACTGCTCTTAGAGTTCTCAGACCCAGCAGTAACCCTGGACCAGGCTGGTGAAGGCAAGGGACAGAGGGCAGAGGGTACAGAGAGGAGGCTGGCATTTGGCAGGTAGCTGTGGGCACTGACTCCTACCTCACCCTTGGAAGAAACTCAGGCAGAGTTTAAACACCTTCCCCAATGAGCCAGAAAAGCCAAGGAAAGGTTGGAGACACTGAGGAGACATGGGGCTTCCGAAGTGCTTCATACAGCATGGGAGAGCACGTCAGCCTCAGGTTTTGGGGGCTAACAGGTTTATTTTGTGTGGCTTTGCAACGCGATGTCATAAAGAATTCACTCGTGAGAACTGTGTGATTGAGTTTTAAAAAACAAATAATGGCAAAAACGAAACACCAACAACAAAACCTCATAATGCTTTAAACAAGTCTGCCACGGTGTGTTGGGTCTCACTTGGAGCTGTCCTCTATTGCGGGCAGCCCATAGGCTAAGGACTGCCCACACTGAATCATGCCACCTCCTCCAGAGACCCTACCAAGGTAAAGGAGCTGAGCCTGGGCTGGCTGAGGCCCTGGACTCTGCATTTCTAAGTCATTCCCAGGCTAGGAACAACTGCCAGCTTCATCAACTCCAAAAGGAAAGGTTCCAATTCTGCTGTCCTTATACCCAGGGGGAACTGGGGCGAGGGCTCCCCAGGCTGCTCGGGCAGCACAGGCAGGCTAGGCTTCAAAGGGTCTCCCCAGCTATACCAATGCCAAAGCCATGCAAGAGTAAACTTAGTCCATGATGCAGGCAACAGGCAAAAGGAAGTGGGCGTGGCCTCTAAGGAGTGGATGGCAAGGCCAAAGCCATGAAAGAATAAACTTAGTCGGTGATGCAGAGGCACAAGGAAGGAGGTGGGCGTGGCCTCTAAGGCAGGGATGGCGGCAAGGTGTCTCAGTACTGACCTCGGAAGAACTGGTTGGTGTCAAAGACCTGCACCACCTCATCCCGCTCCAGCTTGTTGGGCCTGCCCTTGCACACCACTGCGTTGCCGCTGCAGAACACGCGGCCCTGACACAGCCGCTTCACGAACACACCCTTGCAGTTGCTGTGTAGGAGCACGCCACGCTCCAGGTGCCCAAACAGCTTCCGGGTCACCTGCCTCTGCCGCTCACTGGGGATGGTGTCGGCAGTAGGGAAGCACACAGGCTCCAGGCCATCGGGCCCATACAGCTTAGGCAGCCCCGGCTGGCTCAGGGACAGACGGCAGCCCTCAAGGCAGGTGGTGGTGGTCTGGCCCACCAGCTTGCCTCCGTAGTAGAAGCTGATCACCATCTGGGAGAAGGCTGTGAGGGACCAAGAGCACAGACCAGTCAAGCTTAGAAGATGGGGAGCCCCAGTGTCTCCCCCCCAAAGGCTCAGAGTCTGTTCTTTCTTCCAAGTGGTGTTTGTTTGTAATCCCAGCCTCTGAGAGGCAGAGAAAGATCAACCCCTGAGGCTGGCTGCCTGGCCAGTCTCACCTACTTGGACAGACAGACCCAAGCCAGCAGGAGACCCTGTCTCAAAAACTCAGACAGACAGCGCCCAAGAAATGCTACTACCTAAGACTTGCCTCTGGCCTCCACACATACATACGTGTGAACGTGCATTCATACACACACGAACCTACACACATATGAACGTGTATTCATATACACATGCATCTGCACACACATGGGCACAGGTGTGAACATGCATTCATGCACACATGTACAGAGAGAGAGAGAGAGAGAGAGAGAGAGAGAGAGAGAGAGAGATCTAAAGATCTAGGAAGGCCTGGAAACTGCACCAAGTTTAAGACATATAAGCATTGTTATTGTAATTTTTCATGAGGTGCCCCGTGGCTCTGGTCCCCTAGTCACCCTGGACTTGGTGGCCCCCATTCGAGATGGGAAGAAACACCCATCTGTGAAGGTATCGACATCGTCACAAACACTGTGACCCTGGACTCAGATTGAAAGCCCCTGTACAATTCTACACTCAGCCTGTCCTCCAGAAAGACCTAGAAGCGCTCTCTCCACCTATGAGTGGCACAGGAGGGAGCTGTGACCATAGGCTACTGCCACCCCTTCCTTCTGTCACCTCAAGAGCTGGGGTGCAGGTTGGAGGGGAAGTGCTTGTGTTGCACACACAAAGTCCTGGGTTCCATCCTGAGCACCACAACGTAAACTCATCAATCAATAAAGAAATGTTTAAAAAGAGACAAAAGCTTCAGTTTGGCACCAACAGACCATAATAATCCCAAACGATCTTTTTTTTGGAGGGAGGCTTTGAACATGAGCCGTGAGGCTGGAAATTCGCCAACTCTGTATTTGGCTCTCATTGACTTTCCTTGGCTTCGTGGCCTCTGGCTTCCTGTCTAACAGGCGGCACCGATGTCCTCTTGCAGGCAAGGACGACAGGATTCCAGATAAGGTTACCAAGAGAGAAGACAAGAAAAACACAACGCAGAGGGCCCAGCATGTCCTGACTGACAGCAAGCGTGGAGGCGGGCCTTCGCTGACTGACAGCCAGCGTGGAGGCGGGGCTTCGGGACACCAGGAGAACAACCCAGAGCTAACTAACGGGGCGGGCCAGGCGGGCCCTGGAGGAGCTCTGTAACTATTGTAAACTGACTTCTCCACCGTCAGCAACCTCATGCCTTCTAGACTTCCCCTGGCACCTCAGGCCAGTCCAGGCTTCTTTCTGGAGCCAAACAAGTTGATAGCTCCCCAGACCCATGGGGTCTTAAAGCTGTGCAGTCACCGCTGCCTAGGCGGGCCTGTGTGGGGGGACACCAGCAGCTCACCCCACATCCGAATCGCAGGCCCACCGTTAAAATCAGGAAATCAGGATCTGCACCGCTATCAGCATCATCCTCATCCACATTTGCACCATCATCAGCACCTGCATCTCCTTCCGTACTGAATTCTAGCACCGCTTTCCTCCCAGCTCTGTGACTTGAGGCGAGCGAGCGGCTCCACCTTTCTGAGCCTGGTTTTCACCAGCAAGGCAGAGATGGCAAGAGCGCCAATTTTGTGGAGGTCTTTCGAGAGAACACAGGAGCCAGGGAAAAGGGACAAAATGTGGTCCACAGATGAGACCCCTGAGACTACGCTGCAAGCCCTGCCCTGCAGGGATTAGGCGCACTCACACATTTGACCCCCGGCGGTGCATCGCTGGTCACTGCAGCCATTTTGCAGGCGGAAGAGATGAAGATGCAGACCCTGCCAGTCTGGCTGTCGGATGGGGGGGGCTGGCCTTGCTCCCCACAGCAGGCTGGCTCCGCCTCACCCTGAAGTGCTGACACGCCAAAAAAGCCTTCCTGTTTGACCCATTCCAAGGATGGGCACAGGCTGGGGACAAACTGGCAGCCTCGGGAGACACAGCAGACCAGCACTGAGAGACTTGGGGTGGATGGCAAATAACAGAGAGGGTTGCCTCATGCCCGAGCCTTGAGGCTGAGGCAGGAGGATTGTGATTTCATGACCATCTTGGGCTATACATCTCTCAAGACTGTTCCAAAAAAAAAGAAAAAAAAAAGCAAAGCCAGACCTCTGGGTTTTTCTGATAAATAGGAAGTCTATCCTAGCCTGGTCTAAAGGCCCATAACATTGGTTACAACAGAGAGGCAGCTACCATGGGATAGCCCTCAAGGCCAAGGTTCTGCACAGTGCTATGGTCTCCCTTACTCCCTGTGGTCCCCCTGCCTCACCCATCTCACCCCGTGTCATGTCTGCAGTCAGGAAGCCCGGTTGCAGCTTATCTACAGAGACAGGGCGTGCGACCTGGGTTCTGGGGAAGAGCTCAGGGTGCGCCTGCTCCCGGCGGTGGCTGAGGACACCTCGCTCTCCTCAGTCGTGCTGAGACAGCTGTGCAAGGCTCAAGGACACTTCCTTCTCACAGCCTGACTTTACCTCTCACTCAGATGGCCCCAGGTCTGGGCCCAGCCAGTGTGGCCCCAGAATGCATCAGTCAGCAGACTCTCAGGGCCATAGCCCGGGGTTGACAAGGTCAAAGGCTCAGCCTGTGACCCCGGGCCTCCTGTGAGGTTAAGGGAGCTTTAAGAACAGGCTAGGAGGCAAACGCCTGAGGAAGCTTGTACAAGCTAAACCTGCTATCTGCAGCCAGGTCTTAAAGGACTCCACACACGGACAGGCTGGCACGAGAGAGAGGGAGCCACGTTTATTCGTGTTTTTTTCTTGGTGAGCACCTGCCTCTATCTCCACAGCTTCTCCCTGAGCCCCACTGAGTCCGCCCTGAAACCCAGACAGCATGGTGGCTCGTAGGACCGCACAGAGGGGCCACCTGTCTCACGGCGAGCAACAGTGAAGATGGCAGATCTCCACTCTGGGACCTATCAGCCACACCACCCGGGGCCTGTGAAATGGGAAACGACCTGTCTCCATAACCTAGAGGAGGTTGAAGGCATGGGGAGGAGAAAAGAGCCCACAAGAGTCTCAGCCTTGATGTTGGCTCCCAAAAATCACACTGCAGACACCAGCCATCACTATCAGCACCGTTACCACGGATACCAGCGGTATCACCTTCAGTACCATGAACACCATTGACATCAGAGTCACCAACATCATCACAACCACCATCACCACCATCACCATCATCATCACCATCATCATCACCATCTTACCATCAGAAACGTCACCTGTGGGAATAGCTTTTATTCTGGAAACACCTCTTGCCTTCAGTAATTGAACTTTTGCCAGACTCTACAGCCAGGTTAATAATTTGCCTTGAGATCATTTACAATCATGTCCCTGATCTGTGTCCATACTGATCTCTTCCGGTTTACCCTGCCTTTAGCAGATCCATGTAACCAACCTTACTCTGCCTCGGCTTTCCCGTGAATTCAGCTTTTATGAAGCAAGTTAATGCATAGCTTAAATCTCAAATTATGTACTCTTCCATGCCTAGGACCAGAGTCGTGCGTGCCTGCGTGCGTGTGTGTGCCTGCGTGCGTGTGTGTGCGTGTGTGTGTGTGCATGTGTGTGTGTGTCCATGTTGTGCGTGTGTGTGTGTGTGTGTTTACACGCACACATGTGTACACACTATGGTAATCATTTGCTGAAAACAGCTGATAGGTTAAAAGCAACCTTAAACAAAACAAACATCCCATAAGAGTCGGAAGCCATATGAGGATACAAATCAATAACACGTCTGCGGCCATCTCCAAGTGCTACCCTCGGTCAGCTGGGGTCAGCAAAGTAACTTCTTCCCTTAAAAAACGCTGTTCAAGATCTCTATAAATAATAATAATCCCTTAATCCTTCCTCACACTGTGTTGACTGTACTGCTCTGTGAATACGGAGAAAAGCACTTTGTTAGGGACAGACAGACGTCAGACACACACAGCAGACAGACAAACTATCGCAGACCACAGAGGAGACAGCCAGAAGACACGGGGTGGGGGAGGTAGTTCAGATGTAGGCTCGTTCTTCATCTACAGTGCTCCAGGGGGAAGAATCGTTTCGTTCATTACGGCAGCTGTAGAGAGAAATTCTTATGTCTGTACGGATGTTGTTCCTGTCGATAATCAATCTGATGGCCTACGGCTTAGGCAGGAAGTAGGAAGAGGGACATCTGGGAGGGAGAAAGAATTCTGGGATAGAGCAAGACTCGGGAGATTCTCCCGGGAAGACGTGATGAGACAGACACGTGGTGGCTGAGCAGAGGTAACCAGCCACGTGGCAGAATGTAGATTAGAATAAATGGGTGATCTTAAGTTCCGGTCAGAGAAGAGCCTAGCTATACGGTCAAGGTATTTGTAAATATGTTTTGAGCCTGAGAGCATGGGGCTGGGAAGAAGAACCAGATGCAACTTCTACAGTTAGCACTGCTGCGACCACAACATCACTGCCAGAATCCACGCCAGCATCCCCACCAGCATCAGCACCATCCGCACCCTCGTCAGTATCACCTGCATCAGCATCAGCACTACCAACATCTATCAGTACAACCGTCTCTAGGACTCCGCTACACAGTTAGAAGTGAGAGCAAGTGACAGACCCTGCACGGGACACACTGACCAGCCGTGTCCCTACTAAACCGTGCTAGTGACAGCACAGCACACAGATTCTCACAGAATTTCACACACGGTGAGCTTGATGCTCCAGGAGGTCAGATCCCTCCACACAAGGCCAAGGCAGACAAGCAGCCTACACTCCCTGGTGCATGGCTGCCTCTGAAGATACTCTTGGCTGACTATGACCACCTCGGGGAGATGTCGGGGCCACTCGCCTGCTCCCAAATCACACAGATCAAGGAAGAAGGACCAGTCTTAAGAGCCTACCCCCTAGGCCACACTTATCCAATAGGACCTCGTGACCCCACCCACGCCATGGGGCTATTTTCAAACAGAGCCTGTGCCATGCCCACCCAGAATACCCTGGTACCTGAATGATGAGTGTCATAGGTGGCATACCCGGTCACCAGTGGCAGGCCTGTAAGCAGAGAAAGGAAAGGATATGCCCAGTTGGGCTGGTGCTGTGAACAGGGAGGACCCAAGTGTCCCCGGTGTACACATCGGAGGCTGCTGATGCCAGTGTCAATGCTGGTGGGCAGATCTCACTCTGTGTGACACACAGAAACCTGCCATGGTAGAGAGGACTCCCTCGGTGCTATGGGTTCCTGTCCTTGTTCTGAGCTTCCCTCTACCCCAAAGAACTGGCCTGAATGTCACTTGACCATACACAATGATCAAGGCTTGTCTCACAAGGGAGCTGGGGGTCCCAGGCAGTTTTGCCAAAGGCACTTCTGCAGCGCAAGACCCCTTGTGGGACACTAGCACCCACAGCCTAGAAACCACATAGTCCTGCAAGGCCAGCTGAGACCTCCCAGCAGTTCCTGTCTTAGCAGGAAAGAAGCAAAAGAGGAAACAGAGACAGCTATGAGCCATGCAAGTTACTCACGCACTGAGGTAGGGGCCCAGGTGAGTGACCTTCTAACTATCTACAGCTTGGGTGTACCTCTCAGATACTAACAAAGGAGTGAATCCTTTATTTAACTCTCAGATCCCACCAGGCAGGTCCTGGTGCCCCATTTTATGGATGGGTAAACAAGAGGCACCTCCAAGACACGGAACTGCCCAAATTGGTTCCAACCTACTGCCTACTCCTGACTGAACACCCCTCCCTCTCCTGAAGCTCTGGCTCTCTCTGGCTCCGGGCGTGCCCTGATGGAGTCTTGGGGATGTTGGCAGACTCCTCTCAACTTCCTGGGAGTACAGGAGGAGAGTGGCCATGCATAACTACCTATTGTCAACCAACACCTTTAGTGGCTGCCTGGGAGGCTGCAGCTTGGCTGTCTCAGTCCATGGCTGTGACCCAGGAGCCTTCCACAGGACATGGATCCTAACAGTGACAAGTACCTCCTACCATACCTAAAGAGCCTAACGGTTGCCAGTCCCAGATACCCACACTCACCTGCACTGGACTGCTGGACCCACCAGTCAGGGAGGATCTGATTCCTGCAGGCCTCTGGTGGGGAAGGGCTCCTTTTGGTCACACCCATGTAGTCATCCACAGAAGGCTGTAGGACCAGGTGACAGAAAAGAGCAGTTGAGTCCCGGGTCACCAGCACTGGGCCCTCCCCTGACCCCATGTTTGTAAAACCCCATATCAGACACGTAACTAACTCCACAACTTTATTCCACGGGACAGAACCAGAGCTCCCCCTTTTCATCAGACCCTAGACCTCAAATCTACTGGGCTGGCATTCTAACTAGCCTTGGCTACAGAAGAGTTCATTGGCCTTTGGAGGCTGGGAGACACGGCCCAGTTCTGGGGCTATCCTCTGGGGTGACACCCAGCCAAGCCTACTGTGCTCTGAGACTCTCACTCGGAGAGCCACAAAGGTCTTGGGCCTTCAGTAGTGGATGCATCCGATTAGGAGACATCCTGAAACCTCCTCCGCTTGTGACCCTGGTGTGGCATCATAACCATTTATTGGCTCAGGCGAATTGGCAGTAAAAGTTTATAAGAAAACAAGACAAGGTGGGGACCTGGGGTTGGGGGAACTCAGAACCAAGACCACCCAGAAGATTACAACGGCCATGTGCCACAGATCTGGGCAGCTTGCGGCAGGCCACACTGGCCGGCTGCCCTGCTCCACAGAACGTTGCAGGCCACACAGCTGATGCACTGTTGCCAACAACAGTCTTGGTTTTATTTTTATGATGTCACTGAGCTGATGGAAACCGGGACTTTGTGCATGGGAGGCGAGGGCTCTACCACGGGGCTACGACACCAGCCTTTTTCCCCTTTTGATTTCAAGGCAGGGTCTTGTGAAGTTTTCTGCCCTGAACTCATTCTGCAGCTCAGTCAAGCCTCTGCCTCCTGAGTAGCTGAGGTGACAGGGTCTGGGCCACCTGCTGTCTAAAGAGACCTCATCTTGCTTACATGAGCTTAAAGGGTCGGTTCAGCTATGAAAACCCCACCTTGTATAGACATAATAAAAGAGGCTAAAAACAGACACACAAAAAGCCATCTGTTTAACTTAAACAGAGCCCACTGCACCTTCAGTTACAGGCTGCCAGCCATGCATGTGACGGAGGATTATTCTAAGATCTGTGTTTTGGGTAAGCTGCTGGGAACTGTCTGTGCACGCTAGGTGAGCACTGGGCCATGGGCTAGTCCCCACCACAATTAGTGGATCCTACTGGCCTCAGTCATCCAATCCTATAGCGCATTCAGGAATAAAGCTTGTGTATTTAAAAAGCAAGCCATCTTGGTACCCTGAGGGCTGATAGGATGACAAGAAGCGGCAGAAAAGGCCATATTCTACTCCGGAAGCCCAGCTAAGGAGCAAGGCTGAGACTCTATGGCAATCTTCAAAGCTACTGTTCAATGTACTTAACTAAGCTTGAAGCTTAATAAAGCTTTGCTAGCAGTCCACAGGAGGAGACAGGACATGCAGTAAAGGGAGGGTGGCCTGGGGAGGTAGCTAGCCGGTCCCTCATTCTTCAGGTAGGAATGTCACTCCCTGGAGAGCCCGAGGCTCTCAATGCCTCTGAGGGTTAGAGGCAGTGTCTGTTCCTCCCTGGAAGATGCCTGAGACCCCCTTCCACGCACCTCCTTGATCAGCTCCTCGATCTCTGAACGGCCACACTCCATCTCCGGGACTTCGCTCATGCAGCCTGCAGGCACCACGCCCAGCTTGCCTACGGGAAAGGGGACAGACACCATGACCCAGGGTAGCTGAGCACTGCAACCTTTTCTCAAAATGCTGAATTAAGGAAATGGAGGTGGTGAGCGTCCTCGCTGGTTTTGACCAGCAGCTGCTAGGAAGGTTTGGGAAAGGCTCAGCCGTTCCTTCTCATGGCCCGGTCATCTGATCCGCCAAGTCAAAAGAGAGAAGTGGTGGGTGGTGGAGGGGTTGTAAACATGGGCTTTTAAAGGACAAGGGCCAGACTTTGGTTTCTTCCTTCTATCTGAACCCCAACGGGTACATTTTACACCAGGCATTTATAGCCTATATATTGATGGTAAGTTTGCTAGTCTGGGTGTTTGAAACTACCTAGAGATTTCCTGGAAGTTAGGGAGTGCCAGGTAGCAGTAAATCTTTCTGTCCTTTTATACGTGTGTGTGTGTGTGTGTGTGTGTGTGTGTGTGTGTGTGTGTGTGTACTCGACACATGGGGAAGTCACACACCTGCAGGTTCACAGCTTCCACCTGCCTGCCTCCCAGGGGGCCAGTGTTTTTATCTGCCGGTATCCTGGTCGAGATGGGTTCTGACCCACTTTGTATCTCTGCCCTGGTCAGACATTTGCCTTGGGAGGTTAATCTCCATCAGACATAGCAGGAACAACAATCTCCACCCCACCCCCACCCTACCAGGCTCTCCACTCCCAGGAGCCTGTGTGATCTCCCCATTGTTTCATCCAAATGGAGAGAGCCACCCAGAAGCCATTGCTGGGCCAAGAGTCCCACCTACCCACCCACCCAGAGAGGCCAGCAAATCAGAGCCGGAAGCTGGCAGATGCCCTGGAGCTAGCTCAGTGTAATCTCCCCTGAGGTTCATAATACAGAATACCAGGACAAATACCATGCAAATGCTGTGTTCCTCTGCCTCTCCTTCAACCCCAACACTGCAGGTGATGGGGCCCCACCCACACTATAAACAAGTCAGGGTCATCTACCGTGTCAAGCCTGGCTGATCCTGGGGGACCAGGGCTCTGAAAGAAACTTCCCTATTGTTCAAATCACTGGGAAGACAAACAAGCAGGAAAGTGGGGCTGTTTGACCTTCCAGGGCCAGTACGGATTGGAGCAGGCCCTGGGAGCCATGAGGTTCTCCTGAGGAAGGCCAATGTGTGTCCATTCCTTTACAGATGCTTTCAGGACTTGACTGCAGGAAGAAACCTCAGGAATGATGTTATCCCTGACCGCAGGGACACACCGAGGCCATCGGTGAAGTCCCCACTGCTGGCCCCGTCTAACTGGAGAACCTTACTGCCCATCCCTGCCTTACCCACTCCTCCTCTGCAAACTGCTGGAAAACTGCAGAATGGAATCCTGCATCAGAGACTTCAGCAGAGCCTCAAACCCACTCAGGGGGCTTATACTGAGCTCCAGGGACTCTGCCAGCTTCCGGCTCTGAGACGTGACCCAGAGTCCACCACCCTTCCCTGCCTCCACTCAGCCACTCCCTCTGCAGGAAGCTGCCACTTGACAGCACATGGCGTGTGAGGTCAGCTCTCTGTGTCTGCTTACACAAGAGTGAACAACTTTGGTTAGCCAAAAACAGGCACCCAAACCCTGTGGGTGGCATGCCTGCTCTGGCCCTGTGGAGACAGAGGGCTTTAGGAGCAGAGCGGGAGGTAAGGGAGGGCCCTAGAAGGCTTCTTGGCCCCAACAGATAGTTACATTTTTGTTCTTCCTCGGGGACAATTCGGTAAACTTTATATGGCTCGGAAATGTCCAGCTGGGACCGGTCAGTCACTTCTTCAAAATCTGGGCTCTTGTTCAAAGCACAGCGTAACCTCGTCTTCCACGTGGCTGGTTCAGCTTTGTCTCCTTCTTTAAACTTCCCTTTAAAAACTGCCCAGGCCTGAAGAAAGAGAAAGAAACTCAGTAAACACAGAAGAACACAAACCACAGAGTTCAACTCCATGGCCGGCTGCACACAGTCCGTCCCCCTCCCCAGAGACTTTCCTGGCCATCACCTCTTGTCCAAGATCAGCACCCAATTGGACTTCAGGAAGACCACTGTATCTGAACAGACAAGACCCAAGCAAGGGTCCCCCAAAACACTCAGCAAAGCTGGAATTTGAACGCAGGCTCCCCACACCCTAGGATGCGTCTTTGGCAAAGTCATCTGGCTTGAAGGGTCTGGGAACTTCAGGTCATGAAGCTCAAAGAAGAAAGTGTAGATGGCTTCACCAGCACCATGGAAGACTTTCTGCTTTTTCAAATAATGCCCCGAGCATGGAAAGGAACATATATGTATTCACTGGTCTCTCATTTTAATAGAAAACTTGTTTTTGCATTTTTGCATGATTCTAGTCATTTAAAATGCAGTGAACTGTTCTCCTTGTTAAGAGAGATGCCTGTTAAGAGAATCCTGCATCTTTTTTTTTTTAAATTTCATTTTTCTGACCTGTCCTAAGCTTATGATCTAAGCAAAGACCAGAAATTCAAAGCAGGGGACTACTTAATACCATGTTTGCCGTGTAAACATGAAGGCACGGGTTCAAATCCCCAGCACCCACAGAAAAAATGGATATGTGTACCTGTGACCCTAGCACTGGGGGGGACTCGATAACAGGCTCCCAGGGGTTTGTTGACAGCCAACCAAGCCTAAACCCTGAGATCCAGGTTCAGTGAGATCTTTCCTCTAAAGAACACAGATGGAAAGTGATAGACAAAGACACCCAGCAGGGACCTCTGGCCTCCAAATGCACACATATGTGCACATGTACACCTACAGGGGACACTTATGCTCAAGGCCACTGCTCTCTGCACTGTTGATGCCAAATTCTTTATCTCTGCTCAGCAAGAAGCTGGAAGAACATTCCTGCCCCCGGAGCCTGAGTGGTCACTTCCTCTCTGACATAGTTGCAAACCCACTTTTAAAAATATTTTTTTTTAAGTAGACAGTTTCCAATTCTGGTCTTCATTGTAAATGGCATTGCTGGCCACACAGTGACTTGTGGGCTGTTGTGAATTCAAAAGCAGACAGGAACAGCTGGCGGATTGTAAGAGTGACTTCAGGGCTGGGCTTACTGGAAGTTTCTGCCTCTTTGCCGTTGACACACTGAAGATCATCCTAGGCAGCAAGGCATTCCCCGACAGTACCTCTCCCTGGATATAACAACCCAGAACATCTGCCACACAAGTGAAGAACAACCCCCCCAAAAAAAATATCATTGGGCAAACCCACTGTCCAATGGCACCTGAGGAAGCCCAGATATCACAGCAGTGTCCCAGTCAGTGGGCACATGACAGTACTGTGGGGTCTCAGCAGCACCACCAAGTTTATCCCTTTACTCTGGGCTCATGCTTCCTCTGGGAGGAAAGCCTAGAAGCCTCGGGTATCAAATCAGATTCCACGGTCAGGAAGCATCCTGAGACAGCACTGGGTACCAGCATGGACCTACCCTGAGCCTTGCCACATCTGGCCAGAAACCATCTCTAAAGGGCTATTTTAGCTTCATGGTCCCTCAGGGCTAAAGCTATAGCATAGGTGGTCCTGGGACCCACAGAGGCACCCACTGCTTGAAGTTCTTCTCTGCTGATCTTGGGAGCATTAACACTGGGAGTGTAGCTTGGCTGATTACTTGACCCCCATCCAAGAGCCTTGGGTTCAATCCTCAGCACCGTATAAACCAGGTATGGTGGCTCACATCTGTAATCCAAACACTGGGGAGGCAGAGACAGGAGATCAAGGTCACCCTCAGCTACATAGCAAGTTTGAGGCCAGCCTGATGTAAGTTCTGAACTCAAAATAAAGTAAAATAAAAATGAACCCCTATTCTATCCTTCAAGGCCCCCTGCACGTAGAGCGATAGTTAGGCCTACCGTGAGCCAGGCCCAAGGAATCTCAGCCCTTGCCTGACTGAGATAAGCTCAATATCTTTTTCATTCTCCCTCTGTGGTCTACACAGGAAACAGGCCCCAAGACGCTACCCATAGACAGCACAGGGCTCTCTGGTGTAATCCCTTTCCCTGGTAGAAAAGCAAGCATATACCTTTCCTTAACACCTACATTTCTTAAATATTTTAACTGGCTGAGAAAAGTGGGTTTCTTACTTACGCCGACAGCCCCTAAGATCTGCCCAAGGGCTTATCCTATGGTTCCTCCAACAGCCAAGTTGTGTCTGGCTGGTGATGCAGAGGTACCCACCCCACACAGGACTTCTCAGAGAAGACCCTCTCCACCCCGTGTCTCCCGCCGCTCCCCCGCCTCCGGATCAAGTGGGCATCCGTTGATCTCCCGCCATTCCTGCCGAGATTGATGCCTCATTTCAGATTGCCACACAGAGCGACTGCGTAACCAACGGAAACATCGGGAATCTTGCGCACTCTCCTCGGTGCTGTTGAAACGGCTTGTCGGCCGTGAGGAACGTTGCATAAGATGTATAAATCTGAGGCTTTATTTAAGGACTCCTGGTTTGCTGAAGCGGGGAACTGGATGGAGAGAGGCCTGAAAAAACTGAGGCCCCTGGTCCAGAACTCTTGCCCTTTCTCTGGAAGGTTCGAGATGGTCTTTCAGCAAAGCACACTGTGCTTCTGAGTTTAGTGTCAATGCTAGTTACCATATACTTGGTTCAGAGTTCCCATTGGAAAGGGGAGACTGTGCCCCCGGAGTTCAACATCCAAGACAAGTTTGGCGGTCAGAGTCTCTGCAGGCCCTGCTCCCCACTTGAAAACAGTCTTGAGCCAGATTCTGGCCCTCAGCAGTTCAGCGGGCCTCATGGGCCTCGTGGGACTCATAACCTCCCACCCCAGCCCCAGCTCCCAACACATACAGTGGTTTACAACCCGGGCTCTGGGTCAAACCACCAGGGCTGCAGCTGTTCACAAAGTAGAAGTGTGAGCTGACCATGACCTAGGGCTCTGAAACTCCCAGAGAGGAATATAAATGCCTAGGGCCTTAGAAACACTCCTAGGTGACTATGACAACCCGCAAGGGACATCTGACCCAGCCTGCCTGCAGAACTGGGCTGGGCTGGTCCTTAAGGAGAAATCACCCTAGTTCTCCATACTATAAAGGGTTAAGACTGTGGACCACCCGGTCCCAATTGCTAGCTAGCTCTACCACACAGGAGCGAAGAGACCCTGGAGAAGCTGCTTCTCTCCGTGACACTACAATATGTAATCAGGAGCACCACCAGGGTGAGACTGGAGTATGCCGAGGATGTTGGCTCTCAGCCCAGCTGTGTGGCTTGTCCTCGGTGATGGATAGCACTCAGTCCTCTCAGAGAGCAAACAGTACACGCAAGCTCAGGATGCCCCTCAAACCTGACCCAGAAGCAATTGCAGAAGCCTGTCACCCTCATAGCTAGTCCTAGCATGCAAAGGAATCACACTTTGAAAGAGCAAAGACTGAAGCCTTCCTTAGTACACTGTGGCAGCGCACCAAGGCAAGGAGTGCGGGGCGGGCAGGAAAGTCGCTCTGGACCTCATGAGGGAACGAGCCAGAACCAGGCAGTCCTCCTTGTTTCTCTTGAAATACTGAGCTGTTTAGTCATAAGGACATTCCTAAGTAACCTCCAGAGCCAGAGGGAAACCAGAAACCACCGCGTGGGGACGCAGGGGGCTTTTACCTTGAAGATGGAAGCATCCACTTCCTGATTGTAATCCTGCTTGCCGGCGTGCTTCCAGGGGATACGGAACATGGTCTTCTCATCATTTTCCCAGATCAGCCCCGGGTACATACTGCTGTCGATCTGTTCTATGAGCCACTGCCGCAGCCGGCGCCCGCCGTTCCGGTCACACATTCTTGGAAAGAAAACAAATCTTTCAGTATAACAAACAAATGCGTCCCGTGAGTCAGGGCAGTCCAGGAACTGACAGGGAGATCAGAGGTCCACACAAAGGTGCCGGTGTGGGACCCATCTGGGCCAGTGCCATGAGAAATCAGTAGTGCCTGGTGACCTAAAACCCAAATGAAAACCGAAAGGCTGTTCACAGATGTGCCCCACCCATGGCTCTGACTCTGGGTCCAGCTCTTTCCTGATCCCTTGTCCCAGACCCTGAGAGCGCCTGCTAGGAAGAAGTCCCTCTCCTATGATGCTGTGCTTTCTATGAGCTGCTGGCCACTCTTAGAACCAGCCTGACTACTGATGCCCAGGGGACTGGTGTTCCTCACACCCTTTGACCCCAGCACCACCTGAGAGAGAGGACACTCTCAAGGCTACTTGCAGGTTGTCCTTTGCTAGCTAGGGTAGTAACAGGAATATCAGACAGTATAGGGTTCTGTTCCCACTAAGATGGAGTTGAAGTTGGAGTCCTGTTCCAGCTGGGTGACCTTGAAGCCATTTAACCTTAGAGCCTTAAGGTTTCGGTCTGGGAGCTGTGTGTAAAATACTTGCCTCAGAGCCTGCGTGCCAGAGGACTCTGCCAGCAACAGAGAGCTTCCCAGGAACTTAGGATCAACTCTCAGTGAAAACGAAAGGACAGTGCAAAGCCAGCTCAGGGGCTCCACATCCAGTCTCGCCATCCCCAGACACCTAATGGGATACTTGGACTCTCTGGCCGGCACTGTCGGGTAGCTTTCCCTATAGCCTGGGGAGAGAGAGCATTTGCGCACAGAGACTTGCAGCCAGCATTTACTAGAACAGCCTGGAAATCCCCAAAGCAGTTGGACAGACGCCCACCCTGAAAACCAGAACATAGCACTTCTAGCCTTCCAACTAAAATGACCTCTCCGGGCAGGGAAAGAAAGAAGCAATCATCGGTGAGAAGGCACGATGTCCCCGAGAATAGAGTCACATCCAGAGCCAGTATGTCTCACAAAGCAGTCAGGATTGCTGGAAAGAGGTGTGAGGTTCAGAAACTCCAGGTTGCTGCAGGTGGCATTGGGGGGCAGGAAAGCCAACAGCAGCCTGAGAGGAGGGAGGTGAAGTTTCTCCAGGGCTGGCTTTAGCTTTTCCCCAGCTGCCACCAGTGGGCTTGGAAGCAGGTGAGGGCTGAAGCGGAGTCAGACCCCAGTCTGTTTTGAGTTTTATTTTTGAGACAGGGGCTCATATCCCAGGCTGATCTCCAACTCCCTAGGTTGATGAAGATGGCCTTGAACTCCTGATCTTTCTGCCTCCATTTCCCCCTTGCTGAGGACTGGACCCAGAGCTTGTGCCTGTAAGGCAGGTGCTCTGCCACCTGAGGCACCTCTCAAGCAAAACAGCAAGATGGTAGGGAGCCCCTGACCTCAGCAAGGGCTCTGTCACCTTGGGAAGCCATGAGCTCCTAAGTCTAAGGACCCTCATAAGAAAAGCAGGAAAGGAAGGCTATCTCAAGAAACCCAGAATTCTAAGACCACTGTATTCATAAATAACAAGTCAGAAAGGAATACCTAGGGAGAGAAATAAAATGATACCAGGTACCCCCACACACCAAAAAACCAAGTAGGGTGCTGGCTCCTACAGCTTGTTCTGGAGAGGAGAGAGGAGCTCTCCTGGCTTGATGGGGTCTTGTGTGACCTCTAAGGATAACTATCTGAGGATATGTCCATTGAAAGCCTCAACTCATCCCCTGGAGATGGATTTGTGAAGCACACACACTCCATGGTCCCCGAGCCTCCTGAAATCTAAAGAGACTTCACAGCCATGGCTGGAGGTCTTTCCAGGACAGGAACGGCACTTTCTTGTCAGGGATCCTTGGGTGCCCAACACCCCAGAACTGTGAAGGATAGTTGTCTTGGTGGGTGACAGAGAAAAGGGACCATTGAAATGAAAGCTAGGAGGTTAAAATCCTCTCACCCAGCCTCTTCTACGCTCGGAGGGGGAGAGACTGGGAGGGACAGCCACCGCCGGGGCACAGCACAAACTGTCAGCACCATTCCAATGACAGCACCCCCGAAGTGTTGCTCTCATTCATTCTGCAGGCTGAAAGCCTCGGCGGGCTCTGGCCCTCAGCACCGGGACAACCCCCTCTGTTGCCTTTGCAGGCACCCCTGAGGTGCTAGGCAGGCAGAGCCTGACTCTCTTACAACTGTGGACAATTAATGGTTTATAAACACACTCGCATGGTTATAGCTTCCCCTTCTTGATTTTGAGGTAGCATTCATTCCCTGTGGACCCAGTCCTGTCTACAGCTAACTTACAACCAGAGCATCTCATCTTAAGTCAGGCTTCTCACAAGGTGGGGAGGGCAGAGGCTCGCCTAGCGCAGATGTCAGCATCTGCACTAGCCACGTGCGTTAGGGTTCACACCATCTCATTCATCCGTCCCTGGGTAGCAGTCTGACCACCACCGAGTGAAAACCCATCACAGACTTGCTTGCTCTCAGGCCCCAAAGCTTCCTCAAGCCACTGATTCGGTCCCTGTTCTTCATGAAGGAGCCTGCCATAATTTAAAGGGACAAACCTAGAACTGTCATGTAACCGCTCTTATCTTTGGCTTTAAAAGAAAAAGGGGGGGCGCGTTGAGCACCAGGGCACCCCAGAGCTATGCCTGAAATCCTAACACTCAGAAGATGAGGTAGGCGGATAACCAGGCACTCATTCGAATGACCCTAGGCCACAAAGTGATACTCTGTCTCGGAAACAAAACAAAAATAAGCAAAAAAGTGATCTACCATTTTAAGATTCTAGAACACTTGTGGCTGGTTTCTATTAGCTTCTACCCCTTGAACCTCTTCCCAGCTCGGGGTAAGTAATTCTTACCAGGGAAAGTCTGCCCCTACCAGCCTGGTGCCAAGCTCAGAGCAAATCTGGTCCTGGGAGCTGTGTGTGACCCACACGGAAGATAACTTTCCTTCCGGGGCCAGCTGGGCTATCGGGCAATCAGAAGTCCAGCGCCACTGGGCAATCAGACTAAATCTAATCAGAATCAAAGCCAGTCGGTCCCTGAGAGAGCCCACCCCTGGGGTTTGGATAGTTCACGCCTGGTAGCTGGGCTGCCGCCCGGTGATTAACAGAGCTATCTATTTCTCTTCAATATGAAGTTGCCCATCAAGCAGATTTTAAAGGGAGAGGTTGGTTGTTCATTTGGCTGTTTTTTTTTTTTTTTTTTTTTTTTTAGGAAAGCAGCCAGTCTTCGGGAGCATGCACCTGCTAACGTGCTGTACACTCCCGTTTGGGCGGAGGTGGGAGAACCACAGCCCCGGCCAGCGCGCCCACCCCACCGTGTCCTACCTGCCGCTGGTTCCCACGCTGCCAGCGCCTCCGCGACCGGCCGCGGGCTCGTGGAGTCCCCCCGCGCGCCTGCTTTTATAGACTGGGGCGGGGACGGGGGAGCGGAGGCGGGTCCCGGGCGCGGAGCGACGGTCGTGCGAGCTAATTGGGGCGCGGGCGTCGCCCAATCAGCGCAGCCCGCCGGGTCCACCTTCTCTGAAGCGCTCGCCTTTCCGAGAAATCACTTCTGCACGTCCCAAGGCCCTTTTGAGCCCCTTTTCTCTCTTTACTCCGGGGGCGGCGGGGGAGGGGGTTGCCCCAAGGATGGTCGGGGGCCTGGGGCGTCCGCCCAAGATCAGGGAGGCTGGTGGTGCTCATATCATCCTCGGGATGTTGTTCAGGTTTGGGGCGCCCCTGTCCCGAGCACGTGTCCGGGGGCGCCCTGAGTGTCACCTGCTCTGGCTGGAGTTTCAGAGCAAAGGCCGGTCCCAGAGCTGCGTGCTGGACGACAGTCACTTGCAGCTCGCCCTCCTGGATGGAGGATGACCGCCTGAAATTGCGCAGGAAATCTGGGAAACCGGGGGAGTCGCGCGTGCTGGGGCTGGATGCCCCCAAGAAGGCTCCGTTCCCTTGAGTCCCCAGTGGTGTCAGGAGCCTGGTCGAGCCAGTTCCCAGCCTGAGTAGGAGGCGGGGTCGGGGAACCTTACCTGAGGGTCGTGAGGGATTTTCATTGCAGGCTGCCCAACTACACACCTGGGGCCACGTTTACTGGACTCTCCATCCGTCTGACTTTTAAAAGACTTAGGGAGGCGTTGGAGCCGCGACAAGAATTTTTAATTGGTCCCCAAATACATGAAGTACGCGGCTAGGTCTCAAATACGAATTCAAATAAGGATTTTTCCAAACAGACCCTCCTAACTATAATTAATCCTGATGAGCACCTTGGTATACAAAGGCACTTAGGAGACGTCGACTACCGCCTGTTAATCACTGATAAATCACACCCGAGACTCAAGAGCCAAGTGCAGTTCCCTGGGGCCACAGAATTTCAACTGAAAACTATTTTCCAAAGCTCAAAATATTTTTTATCATTTTTGTTTTGTTTTGTTTTGTTTTGTTTTGTTTTGTTTTGTTTTGTTTTCTGAGACAGGGTTTCCTTGTAGCCTTAGCTGTCACCAAACTCACTCTGTAGACTAGGCTGGCCTCAAATTCACAGAGATCTGTTAGCCTCTACCTCCCAAGGGCTGGGATTAAAGGCGTTCTCAGATTCTTTAATAGTAATGTGGGAGTGTTTTAACGTGTTTGCCGTGAAGGGCAGAGTCCAGAAGTCAGACACCCTCAGAAGATTACTACAACGGGCTCCTGTGTGCTTGTATACCCAGATACACGCCTTATATGCTTATGCAGATTTTCTCACTTACAAATGTCAGAGACACAGAACAGAGCTCAAATGTCCACCCGGCATGCCTCCCTCTTAGCTAAAGGTAGAGAGAGAGTTTAGGGAAGCCAGCCCTAGCATCTGGTCCTAGCAGCAGGTGTCACTGTACACACTGTAGGACACCAGCCTAGCCTGCCTGACAACTGTCCTGAAACCATACACATTGGAGTGTGGGCAGGGGCTGATGCCTAGTCTATTTTTTTCCTAAATGTTTTCCTAGAAGTCTGAGATAGGTTTCCACTCAGACCAAAGAGAACCCAAGCCACCTATAATGGGCACTGACTCACAACTGAATACTGACAGGGTCTTTTCAGGTGAAGCCGTGAGGGTGGTGTCTCAAGTTAGTCACATGTACATTTCTCACCTGCCAGAGAGAGCCATTCAGGAGAAATTCAGTGTAGGATCTCGCCTCTCAAAGCCTCCTAGGCATAAGTCCTAAGTCGTGGGTGGAGGTAGGTCACATCACCACATAGGAGAAGAGGCACCTGCAGGGCTTAACTTGGGAGAAGAGCCCCCCAAGTGTTCTAGAGAGTCCATCACCACCTCCCAGACCCTCAAGAGGAGGCAGTTGAACATGTTCTCCAGAACCAGTGTACTGGCTGGTTGTGTGAGTCAACTTGACACAAGCTGGAGCTATCACAGAGAAAGGAGCCTCCCTTGAGGAAATGCCTCCATAAGATCCAGCTGTAAGGCATTTTTTCAATGAGTGATCAAGGGAGGAGGGCCCAGCCCATTGTAGGTGATGCCATCCCTGGGCTGGTAGTGTTGGATTCTATAAGAGAGCAAGCCGAGCAAGCCAGGGGAAGCAAGCAAGTAAGCAGCACCCCTCCATGGCCTCTGCATCAGCTCCTGCCTCCAAGTTCCTGTCCTGTGTGAGTTCCTATCCTGACTTCCTTTGGTGATGAACAGCAATGTGGAAGTGTAAGCTGAATAAACCCTTTCCTCCCCAACTTGTTTCTTGGTCATGATGTTTTGTGCAGGAATATAAACCCTAACTAAGACACCCAGTAAGCGTACCCCCACCCAGTGAGACCTTCTGGCTGCTGCACACAGGTTACCCAGGCCTTTTCTGAGGGTCCTTGCTAAGAGCACTATCACCAAATCTCTTGTCTTTCCCTATCTCACTCTCTTTGTCTCTATCTCTGTCCTTGTCTCTCTGTTTTACACACACACACACACACACACACCTTCCTGTCACCTAAAACTCCCCTCCGCTCACTGTGTATGGCCACTGGAACAAAAACAGGCATTCCTCACCAACACGTGTCAGCAGGTCCTTCTGAGGAGAATCCGTGCTTGGAGAGTTCATCTCCCCTCCAGGGAAATTCTTGGTTCCTAAGCTCATTCATTCATCCCTAAAGCCAACAAATGTCCAATCATGTCCTTGGCTATTCTCCACAATCTCCCTGTTCTCCTAAGACAGTGGTTCTCAACCTGTAGTTCAAGACCCCCTTCCCATAGTGTCTGCATCTCAGATATTCACATCACAATTCATAACAGTAGCAAAACTACAGTTAGGAGGTAGCAGCAAAATAATTTTATGGTCCGGGGTCAGTGCGACATGAGGAACTGTGTTAAAGGGCTGAGGCATTAGGGGGGTTGAGAGCCGCGGCACTAAGACTTTTGTGACTGTATTGGCTCATCTGAATGAGGCAGAGTCATTGCTCTAGTTAAAGTCAGCTGAGTACCAGCCCCTGACATGGTTCTGTGGATTTTGATTTGGGGCATCTTTGGGGTGACATTGTTCACCCACCACCTCATCTTCAAGATCCTGCTTCCGACCTCTTTCCCATGCCACCCTTCATGGACCTTAATCTTAAAAACCCAGATTCCAGCCACACTGGTATCTTTAACAGAGTACATGTCGCACTTTTAAATTTTTTAAATTTATTTCAGATCTGTGTATGTGTGTGTGTGCATTGCATGTGCGTATGTGTGTATATGTGTGTTTATGTACGTGTGTGTGTGCATGTGTGTATGCATGTGTGTATATGTGTGTGTGCAT